ACATACGGAATGCTAAAAAGGAATTTGGGAATGTAGATTTCTTTATAAAATGAATAAAATAATCTTGCCATTTAGGGAATGGCAGGAAAAAATCCATATTTGAGCCCCTTTTTCATTACTCACTACGTCATTGGCACAGCAGCGGTGCCAGACTATAGAAGAAGCCCCAGAGACTGGCAGGGGAGGGTACTATCACAGGATCCCAAATGCTCTGGGTAGTTCTGGTAACCCATTTGTGTGGATGTCAGTGTATCAGCATGCTGGCTGTGATTACCTGTTGTGAGCAGACCATCTGGCCCTCAGCATCCCAGCTGGGTACCACGGTCAGGAGACGGATTGTCTTTACCACACCACCTGGACCTCGCAGACATGGAGCGCCGAGGCACCAACCATATTTCTCATTCATATTTTATTATGTCATTCTCTGACCATACAAAAAAACAAACAGGGAGGAAAAAAACAAAACATTGTCTGGTTTTTCCAAAAGGCACTCCCGGAGAGCAGGCTTTCTGTAATTGCTTGGCAACTGCTGGCACTGTGTGTGTTGAAGTTCAAAGCAGCGAGACACACAGTATATCCCTCAGAGCGGCAGAAAGCATCAGAGTTGCAAAGTAAAAGGGTGCCTACGCACGCACATTCACACACATACATACACACACACACACACACACACACAAACATTCACGAACCATTCTGTCAGTTTAATTTGGCCACGTAGCTCAGCCACAATAAAAAAAAAGCTCTGTGTGGAGTTTAATTGTTGCATCCATGGGGTAGCCTTGGGCGTAAACCTTCTCTCAGATGAACTTTTCTTAGGTCGCTTGAAGCGGCCCTGCTTACTGACGCCCAAATGGAAAAGCTGCTTGAGCCCACAGCTTGTTGCCCTCCCTAGAATTTGGGTTAAATTGATACGGAGCATTGTTTCTGTGGGAGGTTTTGAGTTTGATGAGCTCTGAAGCTCTTTGCTGAACGCTGTGCTGAGCTGACTGGCTGGCAGTGCCACAGGGGACTACATGCTATTGTTGGACCCACAAAAACAGTGCGATGATGTGTTACAACTACAGGTTAGCCGCTGGTGCATTGTGCTGATCTGACAGCAGGTTAGCATGCTGATTGCTACTGTTGTAATTTTGCTGTGATTCTGTTTTCAGCTCTGAGGATTTGGAGGGGATGGGCATGTGCTGAGGAGGAAAGATTACATGAAAAAGCTAGAATAGGGAAGACATGCAAGCCAGCTAAAGCTGACAACTAGGTCCAGTGTTTCAAGTATCAAATCACCAACATTTTATGTTCACTTAGACAACATTAAAATATTGTTCAGAAGAAATGAATTTCAAGAAAAGAGACTACAATACATCATGACTACTTTCCCTGGAGCTTTTTATCTTTGTAACTTCACTCAGTCTGAACACATACATTCTATATATACATCACCTCAAGGCCCTTAAAGTTACAATCAGTAACCTTGACTCCCTGATAAAGACCAGGCATCTACTGTACTTACTGTAGATATTTGCTGACATCTTCTGGAGATCTGGTTCAACAACACTTAAAACATTAAAGGACACAACACTAGATAATTTCCTATGTTGTAGGACAGTGTAGTCTGAAACCAATCTGATACATCTATAAAGTCTAAGACTGATTTGTCATCAGCAACAGAGAATATTCCATACTGAAAGGCTTACATGATCGGTCGATACTTCTGTTTCTTTGTGTCTATAAGAAGTCCGTACTGAACTTTTGCCTTCATCGAATTATGGAAGCTGAGAACAGCCGTGCTCGCAATTATTTTTCCAAGGCTGTTATCTTAAGATCACGAGTTAATTATTTCGTTATCTTGAGAAAACAAGATAATCAGCCCGTTATCACAAGAAAACAAAAGGTTATTTTCTCTAATTAGCTACTTATAATGTATATCAGAGACCGGGAGTACCATGTCCGGATGCATAGATGCTGTCCTGGCAACTGTAGCAACTGATTAAAGCTGAAAATGTCAGATCAAGGAGTACCCGTTATTGATCAACACATCAGACTGTACTGCCATCAAGGTCTAACACGGGCAGAAACTGCATTGTGTCTCACTGATAGAAATAGCATTCAGATCAGTTAATGACATTTTATGGAAAAAACTAGCCCAGCTGCGACTTCACAGGTATGAATCCTCACTGACAGTCATGACAGTGATCTTATAGGCTAAAATCAAGCGTGATCAAATGAACCAGACACTCATTTTCGATCTAGAGAAACAGAATTTGTTTTCTTGTGGCAAATTTTCTCATCATTTCGAGAAACGAGCTCTGTTATCTTGAGATGATGAAATAATTAACTTGTGATCTCGAGATAATGGCATTGAAAAAACTATTGCAAGCATGGCTGTTCTTGGCTTCTGTATCAAATGCACACATCTTGCATGATTTTCTAATGGTCCCTGCCAAACTGTAACATGCTCCAGAGGAATTATCTATAATGGGCTGATTCTTGAATGGTGCATGTTTCAGATGTCATCTCACAACAAGAAAAACGCTGAAGGTCAGTATTCAGCAAGGGCTGGGGCCTAGCAGGGCTATGGCATCATTGATTTTGCTGCTGTCCACATAATGTCAGAAATATGTTCATGTTTATGATTGAAATTCCCTCCAGACTGAGCATCAGACAAGTCTTGGCTCCACTGTTAAATTCAACATGTTTGTTTTTATCAGACAAATCTGAACATCTTTAGCTGATCAATAGACCAAAACTGTTGATCATGTTTCTGTCATTGTAACCTGTAAAAGTCAGTCAGTGTGTGATGTTTGTTCATTGCCACTCGGGATTTTAAAGGTCTTGTGTCAAGTCTCAGTTTTACTCTTTAAAAAAGACCCCTGCTCCGTCTGCCTCAGGATGGCCATTAGATGGATTTGAGGCAGATGTGACCTTTCTCATGACTAATGCCACTGACGGAGCACTTTCAAAGAGTGAGGTTAAGAGGTTTAAGCTAAGATAACATTCAGTGATGACCTCATGCCTCCAAGCTTCATTTACGCTCACTGTGGGCATCTATTAAGTGCCTTTGTTTTAGAGGAAGCAGCTAGCTCCATAGAAATACAGCCACGGAAATGGAATAAACCGAGCTTGGATCTGAACTGGATGCACAAGAATAAATAACAAACTGACAGTTTATCTGAACAATATTAGTCAGCCATCATCTCGGTTAGGTACAGTTGGGCTGCACATTCATAACTTGTCTTTGTAGGTGTTTCTAAAAAGTCAATCAGACAGGGCATCAGACAACAAGCCTATTCAAGAACAACATCACTGCAACACATCAGTCTATTTCTCTGGCTTCCTGTGTGTCAAAGAATGAATTTACTATGCTTTTACTAAATGTTTTATAGAGGATTGAATGGTTTAGGGCCAAACAACATTTATAATTTGCTGTAATGTTATGAGCCGTCCACACATATGGTCATCTGGGACACCAGGTGCGCTTACTCCCCAGAGACATAACCTAACACGGTGAAGATGCACCTCTCATCTGGTACATTCTCTCAGGGATCTTGAAACCTGCTCCAACTCTCACTTCTTTGAAGTGAAGGTTTAGCATTCCTGTTTGCCATTATCTTCATTTTGGGCCGTTCGTTCATAGGTTATTTTACACTGCACGGTGGTAATTTATGTGCCAGTGTCCAAATGTTCTCTTTACTCCCTTCTCTTTAAATCATTTTTGTACTGTTATATTGTTTCCTCAATATTTTATGATGTGATGTCTTTGAGATATATTTCATGTGAAGCACTTGGATTTGCCTTGGCATTTAAAGGTAAAATGAGACAAGCAGTGGTGTAATGGTAGTTGATGTTGGGTGTATTAGGTAGATGGGTTGGTTACTAAGGAGGGGGTGGAGGGTTTACTGTCCCATGGCTTTTTGTTTGATGTGTGGGTATACTGTAAATATCCAGAAAAAGAGGTGTATAGTGTATACCCTCCACTACACCACTCAGGATAAGCCTCTCACAAGAGGGCAAATTCAGGTGTTGCTGCAGCACAAGAAAGAAATAAGGACTGTCCTTTAATCGTCAGATGAAGGGGATGGATGGGGTGTGACTTTTTCTTTTTTTTTTTTGACCTTTCACAAAGCTACAAATATTAGTCCTCGAGCCTCCCTGTGTGACTGGGGGGAAATGCATGACCCTTCCTCTGCTATAAATTAGTTATTAGATTTTTTAAACCTACCCTTTGATGTTTGAAAGTAAAAAGTTAGTGTTGAAGATGAAATTCTGAGGTTGAAAAAAGCCTCTGTTTTTCTCCCTCCCTTGTGTGCATGCTGGTTAGTTAGTGCGAACAGTTTATTTTTGGCCAAATTTTAAATGAGACCTAAATTGCTTTTAATGAAACATCAGTATTTTTAAGCTTAAAATTATGTTTGTCACACGCAATGCGTCCAAGGACCGTCAGAAATTTGAAAGTCCAACAATAATTTCTGTTTTTACACTTTCTGGCTATGATAAATGGTGTAATTTAGGCATGTTTACTTTAAAAATCTGTGGATAAATAAATGCAAAATACAGCCATTTAAATATGTATGTCGCTCCCCTAAGCCAAAATAAAAAACATATGTCCTTCCTCAGTGCTTAAAAAATATTTGACATGCCTCCCCTTTTTCGCATCACCCCTCCCCCCTCATAAGTAACGAACAGTACCTAAGTAAAGATAAACAGAGACATTGAATAGTAAGAATAAATAAAAGAAGAGGTACCCAGCTTACAACTAAAAATAGAAGTAAAAATATGAAATACACAAGCTGCTGTATAAATTGACTTACCTGACTTGCTCATTACAAACATGAGCTCGTGAAGAAGACTAGTTCTCAATGGGATAACGCTACTAATCGACGTTAAAAGATTTAAGCTTCATTCAATGTTTTGAACTGTGGGTGGCAGCACCCCGCCACACAGCGTCTTGTATGCACAAAAATCAAAGACGAAGAAGATTTATTTTCGCTACGTCACATTTTCTGGGCGGGCCGTTTGGTCACTTCCGTCAAAATACAACAAATGAAGTAATGCTAGCATGCTGTGCGATGAGAAATAAAGCAACCAGATTTTAAGTTTTATTTGTGTCTAGCTAAGAAATACCGCGATTCGACTGGCAGCTGTACACCACCAGGTCAGTCCACATCACTTTCGGGCCAGATAGCGGGTTAGTTGAGGCTATTTTAGCTCAAAATGCTGACTGACGTTTAACTGCCAAACGTTAGCTTACATTGAATTAAATGCTCTGTGCTGTTCGGGTTGTTTTGGCCGAGCAGACTGCTTTTACTTTCGTTTTCTGACTCAGCAGGGCGATGAGATGGGCTCGTAGCATTAGCCAGGGAGGAGTCGTTTTAGCAGTAACGTAAGTTAGGTTGGGTAATATTATCTTGTTAGCCAGTGCTCAGTAACTTAAGCTGCCTGACTCCTCTCTGTCTCTCCTGGGTTCAGCAGAACTTAAAGCAACAAACATGTTATTTTAATACATCTACAGCTTTAAAGGGGTTCATTTTCACTGTTTTCCATCAGTGTAATGTGTGGATGAAGACTGCATCTATCAGAGGTGATCTAGTTGTTAAGATTAATCTTTATTGACATGAGTGATGCTTTGTATAGAGGAAAGTTTAAAAAAAACAACCTCTGAAGGGGACAAAAGCAGTTGTTTCTTTCTCTGTGTTACAGATGAATGATCCCTAGTTATTTAATTGCAGATTTTCAGTCAGTAGTAACGGATATTGGGAAGCTTGGATGCTTGTAAAGCAGTGCATCTCTCCTGTTTGTTGTTATTTTGCACTTGAGTTAAATTCAGGAAATAAATGTCCCAATTCTTCCAGTTGAAATGCAGATAAAGTTCCTGCAGGGGAACTGCCCATATGATTAATTTTCTGCCACACTGTGGACGTCGCTCATTGCTCAAAAATGTAAAATCTGTCCCCTCTTTTTGTCCAAATATGTGGTGGCAGGTTCGGCACTCATGGAGCCGTCCACTAAGCCTGGGAACAACCAGGTGGCTGATGTGGTGTTTGTCATCGAAGGGACGGCAAATCTTGGACCTTACTTTGAATCTTTAAGAAAGAATTATATACTGCCAGCTATAGAGTAAGAACATTAAAACACTGCCTGTTATTATTCCTTTATTATTCATGCTGCCATGTCTAAATGCATCTGTTTTATTTTTTTATTTCATTAAAAATAGATATTTCAATGGAGGGCCTCCAGCAGAAACAGATTTTGGTGGAGATGTGAGTGTTTACCCTAAGTTTTTTTTTTGTCAATGATTTCAGATGATTGCACAGAGAAGCATTTTTTTGATGTTGTGAATGTAAGTATTCCTTTGTTTCTATTGTCCTTCTAGTATGGAGGGACACAGTACGGTCTTGTGGTGTTCAACACAGTGGACTGTGCCCCCGAGTCATACGTCCAGTGTCACGCCCCAACCAGCTCTGCCTTTGAGTTTGTCTCGTGGATCGACAGCATCCAGTAACTTGAAAAACAGTCTGCTTGATTATTACGACGTTGACATTCTTGTGGTTTCATACTGCTTTATTTCATCGCAACAGAGACAAATGTAACTTTACGATTTTGCAAATATTAAATATGACCCCGTTTCTCTGCACAGGTTCATGGGAGGTGGAGCGGAAAGCTGTAGTCTAATTGCAGAGGGACTCTCTGTGGCCTTGCAGCTCTTTGATGACTTTAAGAAGATGAGGGAGCAAATGTAAGGCAGTCTTTTTGTTTCACACTGCTCTCTAAATCCTTGAAACAGTTTGTACATTTTTAAAGTACAGTTACTGCCCACCAGTGGAGGGCTTACAGTTATCCCTCCATTACTACAATATAATGCTTCTTGTAATGTTTTAACACTCAGCCTATTGCATCAAGTTTGTCCTGTTTGGTCAATATAAAGTAATAAAATCTGTATAGAGTTAATTTTCATTTTAAAATGCAGCCTTAAAATGAAAATGAGACGGCTTTAATAAACTCTGACTGTCTTAAAGTCTGTGCAGAAATCCTTCAAATTTTTACATCAAATTCAAGTCTTAAAAAAATCCCAGTAAGTTGAAAATCTTTGCCTTTTGCTTTCTCTCTTTCTGCCAGAGGTCAAACCCACAAGGTGTGTGTGCTGCTGTGTAACTCTCCTCCATACCTGCTCCCTGCCGTGGAGAGTGTCAGCTACACCGGCTGCACAGCAGACAACTTGGTCAAAATCATCAGAGACGTGAGTCATCACTTGCATTTTGTCTTCAGCAAATACTCAGCTGGGGATGACAAACCTAATTGTGTCATTCAGTCACTCTTGAGAACTGGGACAAAATCTTATTTTGAGAAAAAAAAAATGTATTCTTCAAATATGCTGGGAAAATGTATTTTAAAAGATCAGTCTTGACTATTAAACCTTGTAATGGGCCAACCTCTCAGTGATTGCGTTTTTTTTTTAATGCCTCCACACCAGCGATAGCCATGGCTTGAGGCTTTATTTTTTTGGGATGTCCGTTCGTCCATCCGTCCATCCGTCCCATCCTTGTGAACCCGATGTCTCGAGAACACCTTTAGGGAATTTATTCAAAGTTGGCTCAGTTATCCACTTGAACCCAACAATGAACGGATTAGTTTTTGGTGGTCATAGGTCAAAAGCCAAGGTCATTATATCATAAGAATGCCTTGAGGAAATTTTTTCAAATTTGGTTCAAACGTTCACTTGGACTCAGTATGAACTGATTAGATTTTGGTGGTCAAGGTTCAAAGGTCAAGCTGGCCATGACCTTGCATCCATCTCATTGTGGTGAATGCGATGATTCAAAAATAGAGAGAAAAGAGAGAATTTCTTAAAATTTAAGCACAACTGTCTACTTGGACTCAACGATGAATAGATTAGACTTTGGTGGTCAAAGGTCATGGTCACTGTGACCTTGCATCCATCTCATTCTTTTTTTTGATACTTTTTCTTTATTGCATTTTTGAAAACGTAACATAGATCTCCCAAAAGAGGAGACAAATAAACACAAACATTTTTTTTTCGCGATTGCTTTTTTACAAGCTGCTAACAAGATTTTCAGTAAATATTTGTCCTCTTTTAACACAACATGCATCCATCTCATTCTTGTGGATGCAATATCTCAAAAACAGCTTCAGGATGTTTTTTCAAATTTGGCAAAAACATTCACTTAGTCTCAAGGATGAACTGATTACATTGCGGTGGTCAAAGTTCAAGGTCAATGTGACCATACGTCTGTCTCGTTTTTGTGAACACAATATCTCTAGAACACCTCAAGGGAATATATATATATATTGACACAAATGTCCACTTGGACTGGAGAATAAACTTATTAGAATTTTGTGGGGTCAAAGGTCAAGGTCAGTGTGACCTCACAAAATATGTTTTTGGCTATAACTCAAGAATTCATATGCTTATTATGACAAAACTTCACACAAATGTCTAATAGGATAAGACAATGGAGTGATGACATTTTGTATCCAAAAGGTCAAAGGTCAGCTTCACTGTGACATCATAATATTCTGCATAAAACACTTTCTGGCCATTATTCAACGTCATATCTCAGGAACAGAAGGGGAGACATTCGGGTCGATCTTCTGTTTTGTCGGGGGGTTATGGGTGTGAAGCATCCATGTTTTCACCGACATGCATGTAAATTGTAAGAGAAACTTGACTGGTGTGCATACAACCGTAGGGCTGTAATTCTAGTACTTCTAGTTTTTGAAAAGCATACATAATGGATGTCAGGGGTCAAGTCTGATGGAGATGAAGTCTTTTGGAGTTGAAAAAAGTTTTATATTTTTTAATTTCACTGCAGTCATAGTGAGTAGCCATTTTATTTTTCAAAGTTGCCAAGAGTTCACTTAATGTTAATCAAAATATTAATTTTTATACCATAATTCTCATTTGGTTTTGATTTTAAAGGGCTGTGATTTTGACATGTTATCGTTGAAACACACCTGATAGCAATATTATTACACAGAAAGCTCACAGGTACTTGAGCAGCATCCCCGCCTTTTTGGAAACCAGGAAGTAATGTCCTTAGGATGTAGCTAACCCCTTATATGTCAAATTAAATTATGTTTTTGTAGAAATCTAAAGGAGTTGACAAAAATCTTGGACACATCTTTAAAGGGCCCAAATTTTCACAAAAAGAAAATAAAACAAAACGAATATAGAAGTACATCTTACACAGATTTTATCAGTACATACTGTTAGTTTTAGATTTTGAAGTCTTTTATTACATTTTTCAATTGTTTGGAATTGTGAATTCTTGTCTAGGATAAGGATGTTACCTGGCACAGGGCAAGTTTGGAAGTTAAAATATAAAAGCAGATCGAAATATTTTATAAATCATATTTATTTCATTATTTCAAAAATACTTAAAAAAAGAATGTTTCACCTCAGAAATCATATCAATGTTGATAAGTTATAATTTTATTTTTATTTTTATTTTTTGCTAGGATATGATTTTTCCCAATTGTCAAGAGTGGTGGATTATATTTGTATTTTATTTACTTTTTTTGATGGTTAAAATGCAAAATGTATTTCATTAAAGGTATTTAATTTTCATATTTCTTAGAGAGGAATTCACTTCTCTGTGGTGGCCCCACGGAAACTTCCTGCCCTAAGGGCTTTGTTTGAGCGAGCATCTCCAGTAGGAGGTGCGGTTGAACCCCATCCAGACTACAGTCAGGACCCCTTCCACATGGTCCTGGTCAGAGGCATCTCGCTTCCTGGTGAGAAACATCATTTAAATCCTTGTTTGTGTGGGGGCCACTGCGCTCAGACCTGTGCTGTCCAGATCATTTAAATGTCTTCTGAAAAAAATAGAATTGCATCAGACTGTATGGGTGTATAGTTGAAATATTTTTTATTGGCCCTCCAGCTGTAATCAGTATCTTTGAATAAGCAATTTTGTTTGTGGTTTACAGATAAAGCAGTTAATTCCTTCATTACAGCATTAAGGATAATTACTATCATGTAACCCTACAGGTGGCAGTGGATAGCTGCTTCACAACCCAGAACTTATGCACTTAAATAACTGTCACTCACACAGGCATTACTCCAGCTTTACTAATCTTTAGGGAATGCCCCCGTTGTAGTTTTTACTGTATGCTACCCAGCAAGCACTCAGCATCAGACAAAGTCAGCAACTAGCTGGTGCAGAAAGTCAAATATCTGGCAGATAAAGAGACTTTTCAGTTTGATTTTCCAGTTTTTTCAGCAGTGAAGGCGATGTGATTGCTGATTATTAAGTCTTAATGTGTAAAACGCAACAGATCATTGAATGTACACCCTGACAACTGTCATTTACATTTTCAAATGTTTCTTTGAAAAGATGTGATATAACTGTTGTTACATTAGTACAACACTATGGCCCTGTAGTCAAATTTAAATTATTTATTTGAAATGTAAAAATACTTATTTCACCAGTGTATTGGGAACAAACTGTGTAACACAAAAACAAAAAGCAGAGCCACTAGATGGCAGAAGGTTACTTTACAACAACAGTTCTCTCACCCGCAAAAAGTCCCCAGATTCTAGTAGATTTGTTTTTTTACGGTTGTTTATGATGCGATTATATCCTGCCATATTGGTTGTGTTACCATAGGTGGTGTATGGTACCCACGTGTAGCTTAGCCTGTAAATTATAGTTTTTCTGTCAGTGCAACAGGAGGATTTTCCAGTTCTGTTGTTTGTCTGTTATCTCCGACTCCGGCAGTGACCATGGTGTCTGGAAAAGTGCAGCTGCAGGTTACCAGAATTGCCGATCCTGCTTCTGATTTTAGTAATCAAAATCGAAAGCTTATTTTGATCAATTTTAGATTTAGAATTGAAATTGCCACACACGTAGCACTTTGTGAATGCTGTGTGTCTGTCAGCTGGTTGTGGAGCTCGTCTGCCCACAAGTGACCAAAGCAGTCAACCAGTGCAGCTTAAGTAATGGAAGTTACTGACCTTATTCCTTTGACTTCCTTTGCCCGACCATAAGCGACAGGCATCCAAGAGACACAGCTCTGAAAAAATGCAAATATAGTGAGGCGAAATGGCATCAAGCGTGAATCTGGGGGCAGCTTTTCCTTTTACCTTTGCTGATGAGCTTCTTTACTTACAGGAACTGACAGTCCTGCATAGTCTACCTTAAGATTGTTTGGTGCAGCCAGTTCTCATCCCAGATGGCTACAATACATGGAATTCAAAAATGTATTGTGAAGCATTTTGTAACTTTTGTTTTGAAAGTACTCTTTCAATAAATCTTACCTTCAGAGACAAGCAAACACGTTCTGAAAGAGGAAGAGGAGTTTTGGAGTGCCTGTGCACTAAAGCTGGCGTTAGTGTTGTTTGTTCTCCTTTCATACATCTTTTTTTGTGTGTGCTTTTCAGTGTGGTGCTAAATTGCCCTTTTAGTCTTCGTTTTCTCTCGGAGGTCCTTCCTCTACCAGCAGCAGACTTTCCTCCAAGCTCCAGTCTGATTTTGATGATATTTCATTTTGGCCTGTTTTCTATAATTACATCCTGACTAATACTGTTGCTAATTTCACATGTATGAACTGCTGAAGGAGAATTTCAAAAGTTCAAAATTCCACTGTAAGATGATGTGGTTAATCATGTGAAATCATTGTTTAGTTGCCGGTAGCATCAGCAGTTGTAAATAAAGACAGTGTGAGCTATTCCAAATGGTGACTCCTACACCTTTCTGTGAGTCAGTGTGAAGTTTACATCTCAAAACTGAGTACAAACTCTAAGTTCATCCCAGTGTCTGTCTCCAGTTTCCTCAGGTGGAGGACCTGGGCCGCTCAAACCTGTCATCCCTCCTCAGCCGCTGCCTGTCAGTCAGCCTCTTGGTGGAGCTTCACAGCCCCCTCCACCCATTAACACAACCCACCCTTATCAGGTAATGGGCAAGCAGCCACACAGCGTAAGGCTGCCTGGAGACTAATTCCTGCTGCCTGCTTTTGGCTCTGTTTCAGACAGTGGTGTTTATGTTCCTTCCCTAAAACGTTTTACCCAGCATTGTCTTCCTTTAATCTGTTCGCTGACAGAATCCGGCCCCCATGACTGCTGCTCAGGTGGCTGCACAGATGGCCGTGGATGCAGCCAACAACCAGAAGAGTCGCTGTGAGTTACCAGTGGACTCTGTGGGCCTTTTGCGAACAATTTATGTTAGCCAAGCTTTTAGTTGTGGTGTCTCTGTCTGCATACTGTATTTGTTACTGTCTTGCTTACAGTAAAGATGATGTTGCTATCCTTTTTTCTTTTTCTTTTTTACATGTTTGGATTTTTAAAGATGCTCTCACCCAGAGTGACCTATAATTTCGGGATCTTTAGACTCATGAATGAATGAAAAGTGACCAAAAAATAGTAAAGGACAGAATATATTTTTTAGCAGTGGACGTAATCTACATTATATGTTTTTAAACATGGTATGTGTTCTGACTTTTGTCGTGTTCCCTCTGCCTCCTCCAGTCCCAGGAATGGTCAATCAAGGTCCTCCGTTCACCAGTCAGCCAACCATCCCATCAGTCGCTGGGGTGAAGATCAATCAGCCCAGCCTTACAACCGTCACCACAGCAACGCAGCCCATGATGCCACAACAACAAGTTGCTCCCAATCAGCAGCAGCCAGTCCCACCCCAAGGGCAGCCTGTGCCCAATCAGCAGCAGCAGGCACAACCTCAGCAGCAACCCACCGTGAATCAGGCCACAGTGGCTTCAGCGCAGCCCAACATGGTAAGTGATGATAATCAAGATAAAACCAATAATACCCATATCATCTGTTGTTGTTTTTTATGGAAGTTTTTCACCATAGGAGCTTAACGACCTGTAATTTAAAGTGTAACCGTTGACACTTGAGATATTACATGATGATCAGTGAGCTTTATAGGTGCTGTTAGGTTGATTTTGTTACCTTTTGCACTGAGCCAGCATAGCTGTTTCCCCCTGCTCCTAGCCTTTGTGCTAAGCTAACAGGCTGTAGCTTCATGTTTAATGGAAACATATGAGTGGTGCCAGTCTTCTCATTACACTATTCTGATTGTTCCTTTAAAAATGCAATGAATTAATTTTTTAATATAATGTAAGTAATGTTCTGATTCAAAATATCCGACATGCATGCTATGCTGCCTTGTTTGTTAAACACAGTGAGAACACGAGAACCTTAGTGGTTCATATAAGTTCAGGTTAGGCGAAGCCCCAGATTACAGGGCCATTAAGATTCTGTAGTGGAAAACAAGCTGCTGGAGAAGTATACCATCTCTTTTGCTGTAAATTCAAATTAGATCACATATAATGGACTTATTCAGCTTGTCTCGCTCTAAATATTTACCTGTAGGTCCATCAAGTAACACCATACTGAATTTTCAATAATTTATTTACTGAGCCCTACTATAGGTAACTGCACCATTTATCCCATCAACCAAACTTTAGTCAGGTTCAAAGGGATGTCCACCAACATTTTGAGATGAAATGTAATATTTCAAATAAATACTATCACTTAGGGCAGTAAAAGTTTGTGAATTTGTGCTAAATTGTCAAGGGTTCAGTGTGTGCAGCTGCATGCAGGATACACAGTATGCAGACTGATGCACCTCATGCTGAACTTATGTTCACAAGTGCGAGTTCCGCCTGTAAACTTGAAGCTGTACGCATTTAGCCCACAAACAGATTGGCATGTGAGTCACATTATGGTGAGATCAAATGAAACGCAGGAGTCGGAAGAGCTGCCTACTGGTGTCTGATCAGCTACGACAGCAACAGAGATAGAGTCGTCTAGAGGACAAGGACGGTGTGTTGGTGTTGCTTCACCGTTGTAGGGTTATTGAATGGAAACACATTGGACGACATCTCCCAGATGTGCTGATCACCAGGTCAAGGAAAAAACAAACCAGAGCCCAACTCCCCCGCAGTATTGAGACGCATAAGCAGAATGGGATAAAACAATTATTGACACAAGCGGCATCTACACTGGCATGTAGCAACGGTGGAATTAATTGAAACACTCCACCTAATGCACAAGTTTTATTTTTTATTCTTTTTATTTTGTGTTTTCCAATTCCATAGCAGAATCCGGTTTATTGCCATGTAGGTTTTACCATACAAGGAATTTGCTTTGGTGTTTTGGTGCATAGAAAAGAAAATTAGAATAAAAATATGAAATTATACTATGTGCAGTGTAAATGTTTAAAATGAAAGGGCTTGGCAGGAGTGTGCTAAGATTCACAAGCTTAACTAATTGAATGATTAATCAATAAGAGATGCTTTTACAGGCTGTTGCCTTTTGGTAAAGTGATCACTGTTCATGTTAAGAGCTTTTGTCTTATAAGGAAGGCCATGTGAGGACAGGCCCCAACCTGTCCCAGACCTTTAGTGAACTTTGTATCCTTGGATGAGAACCTAACAGCACATGCATCCAGTCATACACTACTGACATGAAGCGCAGAACTGCCATTAAGCTGTCAAATGTGACTAATGATTCTACCTGTTATTGTGCTATGGCTGTTGAACATAACTAATGACTGTATCCTATTGATGTACTTTTACCGAAACACAGCCCTCCCCACCATTGTGAAAAAGAATACAGTACAGTTGATTGATAGGCCACTGCGTGAAAAAGGGAGATTCACTGTGCGCAGAAGTAGTAAGATCATTGATGGAGACAGTTGTCTATCTGGGCACGGCCCTTCAACCCGAGGGCAGGAGAAAAATATAAAAGCTAATGTAAAAGTTCAGTTATCATCTTCTACAGACCATTTGCTGAATTAAAAAAATGTTGATGGACAGAAGACCTTCTCAAGACTGTTATTCTACAACAAAAATTCCTAGCGTTGTTGGCAGGATGGCTCTGCTCTCATGGTCTCAAATTCACTAAAGGTCTGGGACCGGTTGTGCCCTGTACTCATGTGGCCTTCCTTAAAAACAAAGGCTCCTAACACAAAGGTTTTCTCCACATTAGACATGACAGTACAGTTTAATACAAAAGTGTTTGCAATGTTCCACATTTTTATAATGAAAATAGTTTACCAAAGTTGCCAGTGTGCAAAATGTTACCTCAGTCCGACAAGATGATTTTTGTCTGTCTTCAAAACTTGCGCTGTTTGTTCAAAATAAATGAAAAAACATATCATTTTGCATTTTTTCAGTCTGTGTTGAACTTGCACTGAGCCCTGACTTCTGTGTACCGTTACACCCCAACTATCAATGTTTAAATCATATTGATATTTTCAAATGTAGTACCGCTGCTCAAGTTAGATATCAGAGAGCCAGGACTTTAGTCTGTGATGCTGTGCTGCTGGTAGCCTAGAGCTGAGTTTGCAGACTAACACACTGTCTGAAGTCTAATATCAAAATGAATTTTAAATGTAAGTACTACTATCAGATCAAAATCAGAAGATTTTCCCTTTTCCCTAGAAAATCAGTGTGGGTATAGTCAGTGTTTTTTTCTGTTTTCCAATTCATTCATTAATTCATCTTTCTGGTAGTATAACATACTTGTTGGTATAGATTAAATTGTCTTAAATTTGATTTGCCATATCTAATATTTAATGTTCCAGTTTAATCAGCCTTACAGAATAAAATGCTTTATATTACTGACTCATCTATTGGGCTATGTTTTTTACTTTGAATTGACAAGTTTATTTATTTTTATAAGAATATAAGAAATATTTATGTATTACTTTACCCCCTCCTCTTCTGTTTTCTTGACAGCCTGGTGTGTCTGGAGCTCAAGGCGCTGCAAATCCAATTGGACAGCAGCAAGGTGTGGCCAATAAGATTGTAGCATGGACCGGTGTTCTGGAGTGGCAAGAGGTAATACCTAATAAAAAAATCTGAGTTTGAATGGTTGGAAATAAAGCTGTCAAGTAAAGCAATGTGTCCCTACAGTTTAATTAGGATCACTTACAGTATTGACAACTGAATGTTAAGAATTTTATTGGATTGTTGGAAAGTGGGCAGCGAGCGCCCGACAGTGTAATTTGATAGGGTAGTAGTATATAGAGAGAGGGAGAGAAAGACAGCCCATCATATGCTCAGTGTAATGTTGCTGAAGCAGTCCACTGTAACATGTCTTGTGCATAACTAGGAGCTGTCACAGATACACCTTTCCTCAAAGTGAATAAATTGGAGAGGGCTAGTAACCCCAATATTTTGGGCAACAAAGACACGCTGACATAATGTTACCAGGTTGTTGTTTGCTAACTTAATCTTAGCTTTGTGTGGCTTAAAGTTGATTGATGGGTGGATGTTATTGCTAGTATTGGTTGAAACTGGTCATAAGCTCATGTCATATTTTGCTTTACAGGAAGAAAACAATTTAATTTTTTATATAAGAACACGAATGCATTTTTACATTAAATTATTATTTCTTTTTTTGGCATATTTTGTTAAATAAGTGCACAATATGGCTGAATATATGATCTGAAAGTGTTAAATAGGCATATTTTATTTAATCTGGAAGTTGTAAAAACAAGTTGTGGTTTAATGGGAGCTTGTTGGTAGACAAGGGGTTTCACCTGGATGCGTGTGGTTTTGCAGGACGTAGCAGTGCATGCTTCGGTGGGCTTCGTGACTGTGTCATCTCAGCCTGTGCTGCGAGTGTGTGATAATACTTTATATGGTAACCTGTGTGCATGTTTTGAAAATTAGAAGGTGGACAGAGTGGCATGGTATGAACTAGTATTATTTCTAAAACTTTTAAAGTTAGGCAAACTAATATAAAGGCTTACAGAATGTACTGTTCATGTCTACCTATGATATTGTATCTTTGGTCTTACACCTATAGGCGATGTGCAAACTGATGGTCTGCCTCATTAACCTGTCTCAGCAGGACATCTAATGTTAATGATGCAAGATATTTGTTGTTGGACACAATTTTTTTAATCTAAATGTCAGTATATTTTAGGGCTATTTAGTTATACATAATTTCTAGCATATCATTGTGATGATGGTCAATTTGAGACTTTATTAGCAGTCAGGTAAAAATAATTTGAAAATCTGCAGGAAAGTCAAACGTAAGTTGCGGTTGCAGCCGTGTCAGCAGTACAGGGAGCAAACTGTGTATCTACGTAAATTTATGATCCCAAAAAAAAATAAAATCATCTCTGTTTGAAGTTACAGTTAGGCGTGAGGTTTAATCTTGGGGTTGAAGTAAAGATAAGGGTAACAAACAACTTTTTGGTGACAGTTTTGCCAGCTTATCCAACAGGTGAGGAGATGACCCAATGCAAGCGGTTGAGAATGCGCATTAGGCACACTACGCTCTGTTGGATGTGGGACACAAGGAACCACCCCTGGATAAAACCCTGTGTTTTTAGAGAGCCCCAACTTCCCAGAGTCTCTGCTGGTTGCCTGGCAATGTCACTGTAACGACAGGACTTCAGGAACAAGATACAATGTTTTAATCAGTGAGCTATAGGGTGCTGCAGGGTGGATTTTGTTACTTTTGGATAGAGCCAGGCTAGCTGTTTACCCTTTATTACACTTTATGTGCTAAGCTAATCTTATCGGCTGCTGGCTCCAGCCTTATATTTACTTGACAGATTTGAGTGTGCTATTGATCCTCTCATCTAACTTTTAGCAAGAAGCGTAGTTCCCCAGATGTCAAACTATTGTTTTAGTTAACTTTGCCGGCCTGAGAGCTCAGCTGTAAACTGTGAGAGTTTGAGTTGGGAGCCACATTCTGCTCTCATCATCACTGTCTTGGACCTATCAGTTGTGTAAGTCTTAATAACCACCTGTCATTGATTGTTGTACAGTGTGATTAATTGCACATTATTTTACTGCCTACCACTATTGCTTCAGCTCAAGGTCAAATCGATTTAGTTTGCAGTTGCTGTGCTGAGCCAGGAAAATGGATGTTAATGGCTTTTATGCGACACTCATGAGGCCTTCAAGTGTTTGTGTTTGTGGACGGACTCCGATCAATGGCCTCTATCGACAATAGTCTCATCCTCCCTCTTGTGTTTGTCAAAATTATCTAAGTCAGTTAAATGGACAGGAATAAGAGTGGGAAGCTCGGGAAACTCTAAATCTTTTCTGTGAGCGTGCACAGCCACAAACAACCTGAGTGGACAGATTAAGAGCATGAAATATTGCTCTTAATCTGTTATTTCCTTCTCCAGCTCATTCGTTAGGCTTTCAGCTCTGTAAGTGATTCTCCTATGGAGTAATCTGTAATGTTGAGGAGAATTACACCACAGATACTAAAACTCGTTTGAAGAAATGGTTGTTGATAAAAAAAAAAAA